TACTTCTTGTCTTTTTTAAAAATGTAAGAAGTAAAAAGTAGGTTGAAAAATAATTACTCAAGTAAAATACAGATACCCAAAAATTATACTTAAGTACAGTAAAGAAGTATTTGTACTTAGTTACTTTACAATTTTGGCAGCTTTTTACCTGAACCACACAGGAGTCTGCTCTCAAGGCTTCTCATGCTTTTGCACTTCAGCTCACTAAAATAAATCTTTATTTTTTTTTGTTTGCTTCACATATTTTGTATTCCTATTTAATACACAAGAGTAGAACTGTTAAACGTGCATTTGAGCATGAAATTGTGAAGTGTGAAGCACTTTGGGTTCCTCTGGTATTGTCAACAAAAACTGGCCCATTCCATCATTTAAGTTGCCCATCCCCTAGATAAATTAAGAGTTAATGTGTGTGGACGTGTTTTTGGTGACATATGAGGACAATTTTAAGACAAAACACCTACATTTGGGGACAACTGGTAAATATGGTGACCTAAGTCGAGTCCCCATTTGGTTTAAATGCCATTGGTGGGTTGGGGATTGGGTTTAGGACCAAGGTGTGAATTGAGTTTAGGTTAGTTTTAGGGTCAGGTGATCCTAAAACCCTAACCTGTGAGGTTATTTTTAGGGTAGAGGGTCAGGGTTAGGCTGTAGAAATTGAATGAAAGTCAATGTAATGTCCCTGTATGTATAGGTCAGGGGTCTGCAACCTGAGGCTCTGGGGCCACATGTGGCTCTTTGGTCTGCAATGGCTGTTTGAAAATGTGACCAAACATTATAGAATATATTTTTATTTTTTTATACTCACAACGAAATCAGTTTGGATGCAAATATGTGATCAATACTACTAATACAAAAAGTAAAACATGTTAGCTCATGCTAGCCTGTTGTTTACTTAAATAATTCATTTTCTTTCTAAGATCTTTCTCTCAAATCCATCAAAATGCACCTTTAATGAATTTTAAGACTACATAATAAGAATTAGGAAAAAATATGTCTGAATAATTCAGTTGTACTAGTTTTTATGAAATTTGGTATAAACTATAAACAGTATTTTTCTGGTTTACATGAATCTGGTCTTTTCATTTGTCCTGATGTGTAAAAATCATGATAAATAATAAAATTCACAAGATTTTTTTTCAGTTTTATAATGTCACCTCCAGTGACCGTAAAGGTTCCCAAAATGGCATCGAAAAGGCCAGCGGACCACCAGTTGGTAATCACAGTTGTAGCTTGTTTTGTGGCTCTGCACACATTTCATTAGTGAAACAAGGAGAAGAAATGTCTCTTTTGATCGTGTGTGTGTGTGTGTGTGTGTGTGTGTGTGTGTGTGTGTGTGTGTGTGTGTGTGTGTGTGTGTGTGTGTGGCGGAGGGTTACCTGGCTGTAGTCAAGCTCTCGGGGTGTGCAGTGGGAATAAGCCCTGAGGAGAGCAGAGAGCAAACTGAGGGGTGGAGAGGGGGGAGATGCCTCTGTCTGCAGGGGGCTCTTTGGTTTGGAGGGCAGGCGGCCCCTGCGACCCTTCAGGCTATCTGTACGCACCACTGGAAGACAGAGACAGAAGACGAGAAGAAAGTCAGAATTATTTGCTTTTAAATCATTCTTTTTCACATTTAAATCACTAAGTTGGGGTTTGTATAAAGTGGAACTAAAATTCCTCCTTATTGTAACTCCACAAGCTCCTCATTCACCCCTTTTCTGAGGTGTGTCTCAGATCAACTCGTTTTGAGTATGTATCTTTAAATCCAAATGAGACACTTCAAACTCCGCCCCTCTCCAGCATCCAGAGCGGTCCATTCTAGTTTGATAGAGGGGGTTTATGACTAAATAGCAGCACAGAAATGTTTCATTTAGAAATTAATTAAAAGATGTCATCAAGGGAAGATTTGTTCATCCAGCCTTACATGTTGGAGCCAGGGTCTGAGGAGAAGTCCAGATTGTCAGTTCCATTGCAAAACTTTGATGTCATAGATTCAGAAAGCGTCATAGAAAATATAGAAAACTGAAATAATACGTCTTACGCAGAAGATAAAGATAACGGGAGAGACTTGTCTGCACCCCAACTACAGAACAAAATTATTTAGCATTTAATGCAGAGGTGTCCAAACATTTTGTCACATGGGCCAAAATCATAAAGTCAGAAGGACTTGAGGGCCAAAAATATTTTTCCTTTACCTGCTCAACAATAAACTAAGCATTGAATATTTTAATTAAACAAATAAAGTAGTCAGATTTATTGCTGGGAATGGATACGTAAATTAATGAAGATCCAGAACTTTAAGTGTTTTGCAGGATTCTCTTATTGAAAGAAATTTGGCTGTTGTCTAGGTCAGTGTTTCCCAAAGTTGGGGTCGGGACCCAAAGTGGGGTCCCGAAACATCAAGATGGGGTCCTGAAAAGATTTTCTGAATTAATTATATTTTTGCCTTAGTTGTTTCAAAGGAGTGAGGTTAGTGTATTTAAAATGGATAAATGTAGTATAAAAGATATTATACCCATGTTTTGTTGACCTGATACAAATGTTTATCATCCAAAAATAGTTGGGGGCACAGGTC